CTCTGGTGCAAATTACTGACCTCTGTCATCATTTTAGGTGGGGGAACTTGCACAATCGGTGGCTGACTAAATACTTTTTTGCCCCACTGTATGAAGGTTAATATATGGTTCAAATATGCTGTTGCTTCCTGGTGGATGCTCTTCCGCTACAAAAACAGCCAATCAGTATGCCTCTGCGGATTGGAGAACAGCACGATAAGCCATCCCTCTGGCTCATCCTCTTAAGTTAGTACAAGATAACTATTCTGCTGTATAATCGAAATATAGATATAATTCAGGTAATGTGGGATAACTACATCTGAATCACCTTACCAGTCTCAGAACACAGCACAATAGCATTCATCTTAGCTTAATGACTAACAAACATATGTAAGATTTATGAAAGCAAAAATGATCAATTTAGATAGCTGAACTTAAAAATCTGTGTGTCAATGATTAGCATTTATTCACGTTTTCATATGTGTATTTTGTAAAATTGTCTTTTGTTTTTCAAATTGCTTTGGATTTAGATTTGAGCACACATTTTTGACTACTCCAAAATACAAATTGTACCATTTTGCAAATCTTAGTTTACACTTGTGGAACATAGAGCATTCATTTGAGAATAATTTCACTCCTTGGAAAATTACCTCTCATGTGTTTACCTTTGTGTCTGGATCCTTGATCTCAACATGCATCCCAAGACCAGGGGTGGATGGAAGGAAGGAGCCGGTTTGTTTGTCCCACAGTTGAGTCCTGTACTTTCCTTTTAAATAAAAAACAAAACAAAACAAAACAAGCAAACATACCATCAATGGATCATGTAATCATTCACTTCTGCACTGCTAACACAGCCAGTAAAGTGTGTTTATATTAAACATACTGTTGAAAATACTATCATAACACTGAACAAGGGTATTTACACAAGATGTACAGGGTCAGGACATAAAAACACATTGAATGGTAAAGCATAAAAAGCAAAATGTAAGTAAGTAAACACAGTTTATTTTTCTTTTCTTTTTTTATTTCAAATATTTGATGCATTAAAGTGTAAATATACAACAGTTCTCAGTGGATCTGTAGTTTTAACAGCCTTTAACATTTATGCATGTTTGGGTATAAAGGCAGATTTCACTTTTGGAAATGCTGGAATTCAGTTTTCTGACGTTCTAAAAAGCATTCATGAAAACAGCGGAGTCAGCTTAAGATCTTAAAAATGCAAGTGGAACAATCTCTACATCCTGACAATATGCATATTTCTGTTCATGTCAGGCAAAAAATTGTTTTTAAACACAAAATTCACAAGCTAGTAAATGTATCTGTGTACAGAGGCCTAAATTGGAGTTTCTAAACTCAAAACACCACTGCTGCAGTTAGTAAAATCACTGCTGGCAGAGTGTTGAGAGCAAGACCAAAATATTAAACTGTAAGGGCCAAAACACTCAGTAGAGTTAACGGAGTGTAGCATTATAGAGTCACCTTTTTTTTCTTTTTGTTTTTTTTTTTACACCTAATTAAAGCAGCATTAAAAAAAACCCAACTCATTTCCGAGATCAATTTAAGAATGTTTTAGTATTCTGAGTGCAGCTGAACCCTTACACACATCCTAAAAATGCATAAATACATAAAATGCAAAGATGTGACACATATAAAAGCCCTGTAAGGTAAGTACAATTTTGTGGATACTGTTCCTAAAATTGGTTAAAAAAAATACTGTCATATATTAGGTGCATCACCATCATTCTGTTCAGATTTCTAGTAATATGAATATTGTTACCCAGTGTGAAAAAGAAATTGAGTTTCGACAATTTTTAAATAAAAAAGTCTTGGTGAAAGCGTGTCATTTAAATCTATTACACCATAAAACTACAGTAAAGATCCATATGCTTAAAATGTACCGAATCAAGTGTACTGTGAAGGTTACTTGCCACAAATAGATCTGCGGGGAGCAGTGCCAATGCATTCATCCGAGTGAAGGTAAAGCTAAACCTTCTAGATGTGGACAAATTATGAATTCAAGGCTGGCACAAATATTTACAATACTATTTCGGCAATTGACACTAATATGGGTTGTTTATATATATATTTATATTATTTATACGTATGTTAATCCGTCCAGTTTTACCACGTACAACTCCAACTATGCTAGCTTCAGGTGTAAAATACTGTTTAGCTAACTAAGATTAGAAGCTCACTTTAACATATTTTTTAAGTATAAAGAGGCAAACCGATTGCCTCTTTAGTAGGCCAAAACTTGACAGTTTGCTGCTTAAACACTTTTAACTGGTGTGAACACCGTGAAGAAGTCTTCGTGTGGTCCCCGTTGTCATTTCCAACGCAGCATCTCTGCTGCAGCCAGCTGTTAGCGTGTACTGTTAGTTAGCTAGGTTATGCTAACAAGCGAATAGTCCTTACCAATAACCATGGTCTCATCCGGAATTTCTTCAATGAAACATTTTTTCTCCGTCTCCCCTATGTGAAAATAAAGGCTGTCACTTGGATAAATCCAAGCTAGTAATAAAATAACTCTAGCAGCCGGGAAAGACAGCATCTTGTGGCCTCTTTCACTTGGGCGCATCAGCACAGGAAGTTGTAAAGCCGCTGCGGCTACCTGACGTTTCTCTCTCGGTGAAAAAAGGAAGGGGATTTCCTAGTGTAAGAGGGTGCCCCGAGTTTAACCTCTCAGGCACGACTTTCTTCCACGCTCGTCCACGATTCACCCCGTGAATAAGTTTTATATTTTAGTGCACAGACCTTTTTAATAAATTCAATAAATAGATCTAAAAATCCTAATCCTTAATCCTAACAGAAACCCACTGTATTATGAAAAAGAAAAACATATTAGTAGTAACCGAAGCCTCATCTTGGAATTGTTGGATTATTCTGATGCAGTTGAAACCAGTTTTTTAGTAAAAGGACTAGATGTTACAATGCCTGATAATGCATTGCTTTAAATGGAGAAAATCTTGAGGGATGGCTGTTATGAGGAAAGGCAGCCCAGAAACTTTACCAGCGGGACACGTCGTTGTGTGCCTCAACTTTCGGTCTTTTACCCAAACTTATCTGCCATTTTTCCTCTCTTGGTTAGGTTTAGGGATCAGAAATCTGATCTAGGTTATCATATTAAAATTTGGGACACATCATCAATAGTGGACATTGGATTCATCGGGTGTTTCAGCCATTATCACTAGACACCCTCATCCATTGAGGCCCTGCCAGGGTTGATCAGGCCCCGGAGTGTGTCAGTGGTTTATGTTAAATTGTTATTTCTCTTCTTCTTTCTTCTGTTTAGTATTTTGTCTTAGGCCTTTTTATTGACTTGATACAAGTGAGTTCTGTTTCCTTTTTATAGTCCCTCAAGGTGACAACGTCGTATGTTTTAGAAAGATATTAATAGTTTGATTATAACTAATTTCAGTTTATACCCAAAATATCTAACCAGCTTTAGTCACCGAAGTATTGTCCGCTAGTACTAATGGTATCAATATTGAAAATTAATATTTGTATATATGCCACTGTTATGTCACTTAGCTGTGTATCTGTGTAATTTAGGCATGAAATCAGCAAAATCTGTAAAACTGGTCATTTAAGCTATGAGCATGTTAGCTCTTTTAAAGCTTTAAGCCAATGAGTGATAGTGATTGCAGGCTGGTGCCACAACAGTACAGTACATTTAACACTTGAGTTGATTGATTTTATTGGTCTGAGACTTAGGTGGTGCAGAGCAGCACCTCATTGCGAGACTGACACAGAAAACTGCGTGACTGACCTGACACATTCAATTTTAGCATGCAAGCCAATAAATCAATTATAAAAAGGGTAATGAATTACTCTAAATTACTCTAAATTACTCCATGTCATGATGGTTCCTGTCAGATAAAATGCTGACATTTTGTAAAATAAACCACATTTTTGTTTTAGTTAACAGCCCAGTTTATGTTAATGTTTTAGATATAATGGGCAATCCGTTTCAGTTAAAATGGGTCACCATTTGAATTGAGTTTCAGAAGATATTCTATTAATTCTAATAAATAATGGGATGTGAAACGTTTCAAACTAGCAAGACTTAGGGGTTAGCCTGAGAGACTCAGCTCAGGGTGAAATTTTTCCTCTCATTTCCTGTGCGAACAACACTCGCTTCAGCTTTAACAGATAGCTCAGCCCATGTCAAACACGTTCAGTCCGTTGGAATAATATTACAAACCAGGTACAATATCTTTATGAAGACAGACAGCTCGTTAATGTAGTTCTAGTTTAATGTCAGTCAACAAGTGCCTAAGTTTACTTTGTTGTCTTTTTGGTTTGTTATCCTAGCTAGCTCATTAGCTAAGTCGCTAGCTGTTTAGCGCCAGCTCCCAGCTCCCCGACGCTGGTTTAATTGCGTTAAATACCCTTACTCTTTTACCCATACAGTTTGTATGTGACTGACAGCTGTGTTGTCTGATACTCTACGCGACCGGAGTGAAAAAGAAGATTGGGTAAGTGAAGTTTCACATAGTAATGCAGCTACATTACCTGCCAGATGGGCTTAGAATTAGTACGGGAGTCATGTTTGACCCTGTTTGATTAGTTGGGGAGAAAATAAGATGTTTATAACGTTACCTATAACACAGCTGGGGCGATCTGGTGCTTTTGGCTAAAATTCACGACTGGCGTTTATACTTTAATTAATCTACATTTGTGTCGAGTCCATTGCCTCGGTAATGCGGATGACGTAATGTTTTCCTCCATTCCTGTACGTGAGCTCAAAAATCACTTACATTTTATCTTTGACTCGTGAAGTCTATCATCAGGTCAGATACCCATTTCACACACATGCTGGACTTGGATTTAGACGTTGTATTAAAGTGAAAATGAAAGTTTACAGCCTGGGCCGCCTAAAGGGCGCTGAGGCCTGGTCTGCCATGTGTCATGTGATGAAGAATGCCATGGAGGTCATCGGCATATTGATGTTCAACATTAATAACGGTTTAGTTAAACAAGAAATGTGCTTATATGTGATGTAATGTTGATGTGTTTCTGCAGTGATGGTGCAGCCACAACCCGATGGCCCCATGCAGTGGGAGATGTCCGGAGAAGAGAGTGGAGGGACCCTCAGGGTCCCACCAGAGCTTGCAGCCAATGAAGTGGTGACCAGATTGTTGAGTGACAACCAGCAGCTTAGAGGTAAGCGTGTTCAGACTAAAAAAAGGTCTCTTAAAAGAATATCGCTGCACTGAGTGATGAGCTCAAACAGCAGATGCAGAAAGAAAGAAAGAAAGAAGAAAATCTTGTCCTTTAAAAGTCATTTTAGAAGCATATTTGTGTGGTTCATTATTTTAAAGCATTTATCTACATTAACTCTTGGATTCAGTGGTCACTGGGATATACAAACTGTATGCAGAGATAACAAATACTTTCAAAGGTTACAGACAAGCTTTTTCCCCCCTAGAAGTTCTGTTTCTATAAGCATCTTGGCTCTTAAAGTGTCACATCTCATTCTTACAATGTCTCTGGTGTTAGTCACATTTGTATGGTAAGGTGAAGACCCTACAGCATAATAGAGGGAAAACCCCAAAGAGCAGACAATTCCCTATGAGCAAGTATCTGATGATGTTGGTGAGGCAGAACTATCATTTAACAGGAAAAGACGTCCGATTTGTACATTTGTTAAAAACCTCAATCTATTTTCAGATTTCCTAGTGTAATGAAATCTATAGATGTGTACGGAGATATTAATGGCTGAAAAATAGAAAGTTCATGAGTTACAGATATACTTGTGCCGCTGTAGATGGAAATATCTGTGGGAACGCTTGTCTCTAACTACAGGTCATTTACACACTTGTATACTCAATTCCAGGTCTCAGTTTGCAAGCACATGTTACTTAAGATACAAATTCCTTTATTCACATTTACAAATTAGTAAGCATTTATGGAGACCTAATGATGCATGCAATGAAGTTGAACAATTCTTCACACCTGTTTGCAAGTGTTTTGACTACAACAGATGCCTCACAAAGCAGCAGGATCCCCCTTTACCTACACCACAGACAGAAAAACATAAGCTAGATCAGCAGAAACATGGAGACGTTGATTCAATGAGAGCATCCTCCTGCTCTCTTGATATTTTACATGGATCTTTGTTTAAAAATGTCTTTCAGTCTATCGGTCACTGTGTGCTTACAATTATCAATACCTCACTGATTTCCGGTCAGGTCCCTGTTTATTGTAAGAATGCTGTTATTCACCCACTGTTAAAAAAAAACCTAAGCTTGACGCTACAGACCAATTTCAAAATTACCGTTCATTGCTAAGATTTTAGAAAAGGTTGTGGCTAAGCAGCTTATAGCTGTTCTAGATGAATACAGCATTCTGGATGAATTCCAATCTGGCTTTCGTAGATCTCACTCTACTGAAACTACACTTCTTAGAGTCTCCAACGACATTTTGATGAGATGTGATGCAGGAGAATGCTCCGTTTTGTTGATGTTGGACCTGACCTCTGCCTTTGATACTGTGGACCATCATATTCTGCTAGATAGGCTGAGACACTGGCTGGGTATATCAGGGGCTCCTCTTCAGCACTTACTGAGCACTTTTAAGGACATTTCGTATCACTGCTATGCAGATGATATTCAGTTATATATCTCCTTTAAGCCCCATGATGTTTCCAAGCTACAGATTTTGCATAGGTACATAGACTCCATTAGAGGTTGGATGGCTGGAAACTTTCTTCAACTAAATGAGGAGAAGACTGAAGTCCTTGTTTATGCTCCTAAAACATTTGTTCCTAGTGTTATGGAAAACTTGGGTCCACTTGCTACATTTGCCAAACCTTCTACCAGGAACCTTGGTGTTACTATTGACTCAGCTCTGACTTTGGACACTCATTTTAAAGCTCTGGTCCGCTCCTGTTTTTATCACTTGAGAAACATTGCTAAGCTGAGTCCCATTGTATCGCGCTCCGAATTAGAAATTGTCATTCATGCATTTGTTTAATCTCGTTTGGATTATTGTAATTCTTTGTTTACTTGTTTATGTAAAGCCTCTTTGGAGCATCTGCAAGTTGTTCAGAACGCTGCTGCAAAGCTTCTGACCAAGTCCTCCAA